TTAGTACCTGGCATGAGAATTCACTTACCTAAATGCTACGTCTAAAGCTAATCATCTATTGACTAATACAGACAAATTACAGTAACACGAGATCCAGGCCACTTACAAGAAGAAGCAAGTTCACCAACTGGCCCTGACAGATTTTTCTGTGTTTACCAAATAACACTAGCAAGTTGCAAGTAAAAATCCGGTTTTATTGACAAAAATGAGAACTTCCTTAGATTTAAGGAAAAATAAGGTACTCGTTGGGTCAAAAGGAATCAAAATTCATCCATTGATGCCTTGGTTGTAGATTTGCATGAACATGTAACTAATTATCAAGGGATGTAGGTAGTGATGGTGAAGTTGGGAAAGCAATAGTCTAATAAAATTTGGGTGTCCCATTCCCCAACCTCTAAATATTATCTCATTGTTTCAAGAGCTTGCATAAGTAATGATTAAATAAGCAGGCTGTGAACATAAATGAGATGACAAAGACTACCATGACCATATCTCTCCTTTAACTCTCTACAACTGGGCATAGCAATACAAAGAGACAAGACAACTTAGCAACTATGTTGGCACAATAAGCATCACAGAATGAATGGAGTTCTCAACAACTCACATCCATTTTTAAAGACAAACACAATTCAAAAATCCCGTTACTCTCTCAACAATATAAGACCTTCTACAGGCCCACACTGCTTTTTGACATATTAAGAAAAAAGAATAGACATCCCAACTTACTCATCTAAATGAGTAGCTGAAAAAAAAAAAAGATTTCTATTGTTAATAACAACCAACTGGGGCAATGTATTCAAGTTATTTTCTGTAATTTATATTTGTGCAATGATTAAGTGGATATAATCTCAATGCATATAGTTATACTTATAATTATATAAGATGAATATAAAAAAGGTAATAATAAGCAATTAGTGTGCTTTTCATTCTCTCATGCTCATTTATACGGCATACTAAACTAAGAGTATAATACAAACCCAAAAGGCATATAACCACAACTGTGTTAAAACCATAAAAAAAACATATGTAATACAGTATGTTTAGACCAACCAAATGTCAAAGATACCTCTACTGCCAGAATTATATCATAGAACACTATGATAGTTCTACTGTACATCCTTTTTTTTTTTTTTTTTTTTTAGCCCAATTTCTGTCCTTCATAAAATGATAAAAACGTTACGTTTGCTTGGTTAGATCACAGTAGGAGTCCATACCTGCAGCTTTTTAAGTCATTGTTCTCATAAAAATCCAGAAGAAATTGAAATGAGGATGAAAGATTTGCTTAAGTAGCGAACGGTTACATCTGACTTTACCACACGCCACCATTTGGTTTCCCCAAAATTTATTCTAAATTTATTTTTTTTTAATATTGTGAATAATACGAGCAGAAAATAACATTCAGCGCAGAGAGTAGTATTTCTAAGCTCGCAGGACTTTTCACCGCCAATTTCGGTTGTCTTCCAAACCTTGACGCGTAAAAATCAAAATATAACAACTTCCCAAAATCAAAATCTGGGTAATACCTTTGAGTTATTGTCAGGTAATAGGCGGTTCCCAGTTATTGAATTATATAATTTTGTTGTGTCGATCACTAAGTCAGGAGGAAACGCGTGTTTTTTTGTTTTTAATCATCGGTTTCTGCGTATTCAATGAATCATTCAGATTCTGAAACGATCGGGTAGTTTCAATTTGTGGGTATTTTAATTAATCTTCAAGGTTCTCAAAGCAAATGAGACTCAACTTGAATTTCAAGAGTAGTTAAACTGTGTGATTATTCATAGTCTATCGGTAACTCCAGTCTATTAGTAACGTCAAACTTTTGAACAAGGACCGGTAAGTATTTTCAGGAAATCTTTGTTTTTACAATAAATGATGTGGAATAAAAGTATTTGCCATGTGATGAGTGGATTGATGTAATGTTTTAAAACCCGTCCGGCCTAGCTGGTTGAGGAGGACTCAGGGTTGAGTCGGGTTTATATGAGTTAGCACTCTGTGTTGACACGTGGTTGGACCGGTGTTACTGTAGCAAACATAGTCCAATCGGTTTTGAGCCCCAACTAGGGTACCTCTTTAACCCCCTTTTTTATTTGATTAATCTACTTCCACTCCACCACAACAAACTTCGGCTCCTTTAGATCTTCTTCTTAGTTTTCATCTCTATCTTCTTTTCTCATATTTCTCATTTCTTCATTGCTTATCTTGTTTCTTCAGATGCTTTAACATCTTTCTTCTTCTTATCTTGATTTTCTTCTTCTCTTCACAAATTTTATTTATTATCGAAAGCGGAGAATATGTAACTTTGTGGTTGGGTTTTGCTATTTTGTGTTTAGTTTGGAATAATGATGGTTTATTGCTTGTTTATTTGATTGACACGAGATTGGAGATTAGTTCTGCGGGGTGCGTAATTTTACTCACCCCTTTTGTAGGTTGTCCCAATGGAAGAAGTAATGGAAAGTTATAACTTGCAAATACATAATATGGTTAATAAGAGTGTTGACCAGTTTGACCTATCATCGCACCTTGACCGATCATCTAACCGATTCATTGACCAGGTCGACTATGAAAACATTGATGATAGAGTGAAGTGCTGTTTTTCAAAGGGTTGATTTGATTTAAAATACGAAGTAGTTCACATTTTTTCTTATTTTGTTTCCCCAGGTAACCAACCTTGTAGTTGTTGCAATATTAGACAATATTCAATGAAGTTGTCCTTTTGGGATCATCTCGAATCCATTTTAATATAAACATAAAATGAATTGACTTCTCTTTCTTCAACTAACCGCCTCTTTTCAATTCATAAAAACTTTCATATCAGTAATAATTACGCCTGATTCAGTTTACTGACTCTTGAGCTCATGTTATTTTGATCCAAATAAAAAAGTGTGAGAAAGGGGAGGCCTTCTATTTGAGGATAAATCGAAGAAGAATGTTTACTTTTAAAAAGCCCCTTTCTAACAAAACTCTGTAAAGAAGATAGAAGAGAAAGAGAGATCATTATTGATTCGGAGATGTATGTGTCCTCTTAAGTAAATGATGGAATTTGTTTTATCTCTCTTATTCCTAGTTATTACTACAATTTATGCATCTCTAATGGTCAGAAACGAAGTGTGTTTGAACAGATTCCATACATGTAAGTCGAGTTACAGCAAAATCATTAAGCGTGAAATACTGTTCTGAAAGACAACACATGATACACACTGACACACGAGGGACAATCAAAAGATTTGTTTTTTGATCAATGCAGCACGTCCGTCTAATTATAACCATCTTTTCTCTCTTGAGCACGAAATTCGTGAAACCCCATTTATAAAAATGAGAAAAAATTATCAGACTTTTTTGTCTGTGACTATATATATGTTTCAATCATCCTCACCAAAACGAAACACAAAACTTTAATGGGTTATTAAGTTCAAGTTGATTCTGATAGCAGTGTGTTGGAGCTCTCTAGACAATTATGATGCTGAACAGTACCGTGGAGTGGATGTTTCAGGCTTCATCTCATTCTCCCATCTCCTAAACTCCAAACTTAGAAAATGTTTGGTAGAAAGGCTGGGACAAGACTACTGAAAAGTTAAGAGGGGGCCCATTGTAAAACCGATTCTGATTCGCAAAGCCTTTTCTCAAATTTTTTGTGCTGTATTCCACCTGTCTCAGTATTATTGTACCATAACCATCAGGGAAAAGCTATAAGATTCCATTTGCTGAAGATGGGCACAAGAACCGGTGGTGCATTACAGATGGGGAGAAAAGCCACTGGGTGGGCCTGGGGAAGCTTTTGAAAAGCTGGTTGGCTAAATAGGATTGATGTGAAACAACGAGAGAAAGTGGCTTGTCCTTAAATTTATGTACATATGTATGCATCGCTGATTGAATGGATTTGATATGTAAATAAATCTACTCATTAAGAAAATTAATCATGTGTTAACCTGTGAAAACTTATGAATCCTGCAATCAGGTGTAGAAAAACAGAGGAATTTGAATGAAAATTGAAATTAATGGCTTAATCAATTCCCCATATCACTTCGTAACCTGCTCACAGTGGTTAAAAACGTTAATCAAGGTCTTACGGCCCCTCTTTGCAGGAGTTTCGATATCAATCGGATTTTATTGGGTGTATATTCATAGAGTCAATCTCAACCAAGATTTTCTGTTTTCTCATTGTAATTTTATTATCATAAAATTTAGATATCCATTCAACGAAAAAAAAAAAAAAAAAAAAAAAAATAAAGATACGAGTGGAATGAGGGATACTAACGCGCAATCTAGTAAAAAATGGAAAGTGAAGGGATTTAACTATTTATGGCCGAACTGGAGGAAGGCTTATGTGATTGTTAAGTTATTTAATCTTATATTTTTTATATTGTTTAACTATTATACTGAGATTATTTGTGGGAATTTTTAGCTTTTAAGTTTTTTGACTTTCTATTAATTATCTAAAATTTAACTTTAGGAATAATGATGGTAAGAGTATATAACGTAAATGAATGTTCACTCTTTTAAATCTATTAAAAAATATGGAATAAAAGAATTTATGAATTTAGGGGATGCTAAAAAAAAAACTTCCAACCTTTTTACAACCGAATATAAATTTTTATGCTTAAACTACTATTTTTGCAGCAAAAAAAAAAAAAAAAATCTTCTATTAATTCTACCTACCAAATGTTTCTATTTTCAACTAAACAAGAGAATGAGCAATTTTCAAAAGAAAGAAAAGAAATTGAAAATTATTAGAAGAACAGTAAAAAGGAAGTATAAAACATGGTTATTTAGAAATACTTAAAAAAAAAAAAAAAAAAAGAGATTGAAAATGAAAAGATATGGCACAGTTGGGTCATAATTTTGTGTTTTGAAAAAGAAAAAAAAAGGTTGAATTAGGCAGGTATTGATGTTAGGATTTCTAAATTCTAAAATAACCCTATGTTTGTTTATTTGCAAAACAACCCCTATAATAAAACATTAAAAGTTAACAAAAACACCCCAAACCCATATTGCAATGCAAGTTATGGCTCATTAAACGAGGTTTAACTTAACCCTTCTCCTTTTCTGGTTTGATTTCTTCTCTTTCTTTCTTTTTGCCCTGACTCCATTCTCTCATTTGTCCTTCAACGTTCCATCATCTCAGTCTCAGAACAGAACACAAAAGAGTGAAAGGACGCTTGCATTATTATCATACTTAATATATGCTGTCATTCAACTACTGAACTCCCCTTGTGCTGCCTCTGTTATATATACGTATATATAAAAGATAAATTATTTATCAAACCTTTTAAATATTTGGTCATCCATCTTTTGCTTTGAAAATTGTCATCTTTCTAAACATTGTCTCTCTCTCGCTCTAAAAAATGGGATTTGTTCTCAGCTTCATGTTTTGCCAGAAGCTTCCTTCTCTCTTCTGTTTCCTTTTCGTTCTTTTGATCATTTCCTCAACACAGATGGGATTCAAGGCTGAAGGTAAGTGAGTCTTGGTTAACTTTGTGTATACCAAAAGGAACCCAAGTCATATCCTGTCCTTAAAAGCTTTTTCTTTTGCGTGTAGCAGGAAGAGTAAATCTCAAATCTTTTGACTCCTCTCAGGTGAGCATTAATGGATTTTTTTCATATTTGTTTCTTCACATCTCGGAGTCTCATGCACTAATTGGTTATGCGTTTGGTTAGTCTGGACAGAGAGTGGAGGACGATAAGGCTTTTCTGGGTGCACAAATAGGGTCAAGGCCACCAAAATGTGACATAAAGTGTCGCTCATGTGGGCACTGTGAAGCCATTCAGGTGCCTGCAAGTCCTGCACAAAATGGGAAGAAGAACTCTTCAACAGTAGCCTACAATGTCGCCAATGCAAGAGGAGATGACACCACTAATTACAAACCCATGAGTTGGAAGTGCAAGTGTGGCAAATACATCTTCAATCCATGATCACTATCTACAAAAATTTTCAACTAGCTAGGTAAACAATATCCCATTCTTTTGGAAAATATTAAGTCAGAATTTTTTTTTTCTCTTTTCGTGGTTTATATATATGTGTGTGTAGGAGTAGCACTCTTCTCAGGCCTACACTCCATAGTCCATCCAGGCTTCCTTCTTTTCTTCCTTTCTCTACTTACGGATACATATCATCACTAAAGTTCTGTAATATTTTGGTTACTGACCATATATATATTGCCAAATATGTAATGTGATTGCAGTGTTGAATTAATGCCTAAGATTTATGACTCTGTAACGTGTAACATTTTTTTTTTTTTTTTTTTTTAGCCGAATTTCTGTCCTTCATATAGTGATAAAACGTACGTTGCTTCTGGTTAGATCGCAGTAGGAGTCCATACCTGCATGCTTTTTTAAGTTATTGATTCTCATAAAAATCCAGAAGAAATTGAAATGAGGTGAAAGATTTGCTAAAGTAGCGAACGGATTACGTCTGACTTTACCATACACGAGACCATTTGGTTTCCCAAAATTTATTCTAAATTTTTTTTTTTTTTAATATTGTAGAATAATACGAGCAAGAAAATAACTATTCCGCGCAGAGAGTAGTATTTTCGAAGCTCTCGCAGGACTTTTCACCGCCAGATTTCGGGTGTCTTCCCAATAACCTTGACGTGTAAAAATCAAATATTAACCACTTCCCAAAAATCAAAATCTGGGTAAATACCTTTGAGTTATTGGTCAGGTAATAGTTGGTTCCCTGTTATTGAATTAAATATAAATTTCTTGTTGTCGATCACTAAGTCAGGAGGAAAACAGCGTCTTTTTTTTTTTTTTTTTTTTATCATCGGTTTCTGCGTATTCAATGAATCATTCGAATTCTGAAACGATCGGGTAGTTTCAATTCGTGGGGATTTAATTAATCATTGGAGGTTCTCAAACTGTAAATGAAGACTCAAACTTAGAATTTCAAGAGTAGTTAAACTGTGTGATTATTCAAAGTCTATCGGTAACTCAAGTCTATTAGTAACGTCAAACTTTTGAACAAGGACCGGTAAGTATTTTCAGGAAATCTTATGTTTTTACAATAAATGATGTGGAATAAAAGGATTTCCTACATGTGAGTGAGTGATTGATAGCAATGTTTTAAAACCCACTTGGTTCGGCCCGGCTGGTTGAATGAGGACCTAAGGGTTGAGTCGGGTTTATCATGACAGAAAATTGAAAAAGACAGTTCACTGTGTGACACGTGGTTGGACTGGTGTATTGTAGCAAATCACTAGTTGAATCGGTTTTGGGCCAAAACTAAGTACTCTAATTTAATAAATCCCCTTTCAATTTTTTATTTGAATTCAATCCCTATTCCACTCTACCACAATCAAACTTCGGTCTCCTTTAGAATTACATCTTTGTTCTTCAGATCTTTTTCATCTTCTTCATATGCTCATCTTTGTCTTCTTCAATGCTCATCTTCAATCATCTTTTTTCTTCTTAGATCTTGATTTTCTTCTTCTTCTTCACAAAATTTTATTTATTATCGAAAGTGGAGAATATAGTAACTTTGTGAAATTGAGTAACTTTGTGAAATTGAGGTCCTTTGCAATAATAATTATGAGGTTTATAAGTTTGGTAATAATGATGATAAATGTATGGAAAATGACAGAGTTATAGAAAATTACACACTGAATCTATGCACCGAATGACGTGTAAAATCCTGACGGTGATTAATATTAATTTAATGAATCAATGGTTAGGATTTCGTACGTATTTGGTGTACAAATTTGGTGTGTATCCTTCGATAATTGTAGCATTACTTAAATATATTATTGCTTATTTGATTGAAACTGAGATTGGAGATAATTCTACGGCAGGTGAGCTAATTTTAACTCACCAAATTTCTAGCGCCCAATGGAAAGAAAGATAATGGAAAGTTGTACTTCAAATACATAATATGGTCAAACAAGAGTATTGACCAATTTGACCAACCCGAAACCCAGTCATCTAACGATTCATTGATCGGGTCGGCTATGAAAACATTGATTGATAGAGTGAAGTGCTATTTTTCAAAGGGTTGATTTTGATTTAAAATAATGAAGTTAAGTCCATTTATTTTTACTGATTTTGTTTCCCCAGGGAATAACCAACCTTGATTAAGTTGTTGAATATTAGTAAACAATATTCAATGAATGTTGTTCCTTATTGGGTATCTATCTATCTCGAGTATCACAATTTTAATTATAAAACATAAATTGAATTGACCTTCTTTTTCATTCAACTAACCGCCTCTTTTCAGTTCAAAAAAAAAAACTTCTAGTATCAGTAATAATTATGCCGATTCAGTTACTGACTCTTGAGCTCATGTTATAATTTGATCCAAATCAAAAAGTAGTCAGAGAAAAAGAGAGGAGGCCTTCTATTTGAAGGTAATAAATCAGAAAAAATGTTTAAACTTTTAAAGAAAGCCCCTTTCTAACAAAACTCTGTAAATGAAAAGATAGAAGAGAAAAAGAGAGAATCCTTATATGATTCGGGAGATTTGATTGTGTCCTCTTAAAGATAAAATGATGGAATATTTTGCTTTTCTTCTCTCTTATCCTAGTTATTACTACAAATTTATGCATTCTAATGTGCTTCAGAACGAAGTGATTTGAACAGGATTCCTACATGCAAAGTACGAGTTTACAGCATAAACAATCAATTAACAGTGTGAATACTGTTCCTGAAAGACAACACACTGTCACACACAGAGAGGCACAACATCAAAAGATTTGTTTTTCGACAAATGAAGCACGCGGTCTAGTTTAATTTTAACCATTCTCTTTCTCTTCATTGAGACACGACAATCGTGAAACCCCATTTAAAAATGAGAAAAAATTATCGAACTTTTTTGTCCGTGATGAACTTATATAATGTTTCATATCATCCTCACCAAAACGAAACACAAAACTTTAATGGGTTATTCAAGTTCAAGTTGATTCTGATAGCAGTGTGTTGGAGCCTCTAGACATTTTATGATGCTGAACAGTCACGTGGAGTGGATGTTTCAGGCTTCATCTCATTTCCATCTCCCATCTCCTAAACTCCAAACTTAGAAGAATGTTTGGTAGAAAGACTGAGGACAAGACTACTGAAAAGTAAGAGGGGCCACATTGTAAAAACCGATTCTGATTCGCAAAGCCTTTTCTCAAGTTTTTTGTGCTGTATTCCACCCCACCTATTATATGACCATAACCATCAGGGAACAGCTATAAGATTCCCTTTGCTGAAGATGGGCACCAAAGAATCACGGTGGTGCATTACAGATGGTGGAATAATAGCCACTGGGGGGCCTGTGGGAAGCTTTTGAAAAGCTGGTTCGCCTAAACTAGGATTGATGTGAAACAACGAGAGAAAGTGGCTTGTCTATATATTTATGTACATATGTATGCATCAGCTGAATTTGAATGGATTTGCATTGTAATAAATCTACTCCATAAAGAAACTAATCATGTGTTTACCTGTGAAAAATATGAATCTGCAATCGGTGTACGAAAAACAGAGGAATCTTGAATGAAAATTTTAATGCGTAATCAATTCTCCGATATTACTTCGTAACTCGCTCACAGTGGAGTTAAAAACGCTTAATCAAGGTCTTACGGCCCTCTTTATGCAGGAGTTTCGAATGTCAATCGGATTTTATTGGGTGTATGATTCATAGAGTCAACTCTCAACCAGGATTTTCTGTTTTCTCATTGTAATTTTTTTATCTATAAATTTAGATATCCATTCAACCCGAAAAAGAAAAAAAAAAAAAATAAATCGAGGGATATCGAAGACGCAATCTAGTAAAAAATGGGAAAGTGAAGGGTATTTAACTATTTATGGCCCGAACTGGATGGAATAGGCTTATTGCGATAGTTATTTTAATCTTATATTTTTTATATTGTTTAACTATATTATGTCTTGGGAATATTTGTTGGGAATTTTTTAGCTTTAAGTTTTTTGAACTTTCTATTTAATTATCTAAAATTTAACTTAGGAATAATGTGGTATAGAGTATATAACGTAATGAAATGTTCACTCTTTAAAATTATTAAAAATATGGAATAAAAGACATTTATGAGATTTAGGGGATGCCATAATAAAAAACTTCCAACCTTTTACAACCGAATATAAATTTTTTTATGCCAAACTATTATTTTTGCAGCCAAAAAAAAAATAATAATAAAAATCAAAAAATCTTCTATTAATTCTACCTACCAAATGTTTCTATTTTCAACTAAAGAATGAGAAATGAGCAATTTTCAAAAGAAGAAAAGAAATTGAATATAACTGAGAAGAACAGTAAAAAGGAAGTATAAAACATGGTTATTTAGAATTACTAAAAAAAAGAAAAAGATGAAAATGAAAAGATATATATTTTGGTAATATGTAATATATCTCCTTCAAAAATCGAAAGAATTTAATGATGATACCCAATCATCAATAAATCAAAGTTAAACCTTAACTAAAGAAATCCATTAGGCAAACATTTATAAAAGAATGAAATGTTCCAGGTTTTGCAATTCTGTATTTTCAAAAGTCTAATTAAATATAAGGCAACTGTTTTTCCTCCCAACACAAAATGTGAAATAGTCAGCAAAGCAAAAACGTAAATATTATATATGATAAAGGTACATTTCTGACTCTTAATGCCCAAATAGAGAGAAAAAGTTGTTCCTGCATGGAATGTATATGAATATACAGAAAACTAAAAACCACTTACGAGCTAAAATTTGGTTTCTCAAAAGGCAACTCCACAATCACATAAGCCTAAAATTATCACGAATGACTTTTAGAAGCTCAAAAACTTGGCTAGACTTAATAAAGCTCCAAGTAGTAAAGAATGCAGCTGTTAGTTCTACACAGCTAATGAGGGAATATTAAATAGGATTGATGAAAAGTGTCCCTAACCACATTAAATTGACTCAACAAGACCAGCTCCAGTCAAGCTAGAGCCCAAAATGAACTACATTGAAATTAGATTACCCATTCCATGATCCATATAGTTCTGTATATCATCAAATCCTCTGATGCCATAAACAACATAAACTATCTTTGTTCCACTATAACCGTAGCAAGTGTCTCAAGCAAAGTCCTTAGTACCTGGCATGAGAATTCACTTACCTAAATGCTACGGCTAAAGCTAATCATCTATTGACTAATACAGACAATTCAGTAACACGAGATCCAGGCTTACAAGAAGGAGCAAGTTCACCAACTGGCCCTGACAGATTTTCTGTGTTTACCAAAAAACATTAGCTAGTTGCAAGTAAAAATCCGGTTTTATTGACAAAAATGAACTCCTTAGATTGAAGGAAAAATAAGGTATCCTGGGGCAAAAGGAATCAGAATTCATCCATTGATGCCTTGGTTGTAGATTTGCATGAACATGTAACTAATTATCAAGGGATGTAGGTAGTGATGGTGAAGTGGGGAAGCAATAGTCTAATAAAATTTGGGTGTCCCCTTCCCAACTCTAAATATTATCTCATTGTTCAAGAGTGCATAAGTAATGATTAAATAAGCAGGCTGTGAACATAAATGAGATGACAAAGACTACCCTGACAAAACTCTCCTTTAATCTCTACAACTGGGCATAGCAATACAAAGAGACAGACAACTTAGAACTATGTTGGCACAATAAGCATCACAGAATGAATGGAGTTCTCAACAACTCACATCCATTTTTAAAGACAAACACAATTCAAAAATCCCGTTACTCTCTCAACAATATAAGACCTTCTACAGGCCCACACTGCTTTTTGACATATTAAGAAAACAGAATAGACATCCCAACTTACTCATCTAAATGAGTAGCTGAAAAAAAAAAAAAGATTTCTATTGTTAATAACAACCAACTGGGGCAATGTATTCAAGTTATTTTCTGTAATTATATTTGTGCAATGATTAAATGGATATAATCTCCATGCATATAGTTATACTTATAATTATATAGATGAATATAAAAAAGGTAATAATAAGCAATAGTGTGCTTTTCATTCTCTCATGCTCATTTATACGGCTACTAAACTAAGAGTATAATACAAACCCAAAAGGCATATAACCACAACTGTGTTAAAACCATAAAAAAAACATATGTAATACAGTATGTTAGACCAACCAAATGTCAAAGATACCTCTACTGCAGAATTATATATAGAACACTATGATAGTTCTACAAGGACAACAGAAACAAAACCTGGATTAAGCCCGAGAAAGGTTATGCTGCTCTACCCCACAGGCGGTTACCTCTATCTGAATACAATCCAACACCCCAAACTGTCTCAATGTTGTGACCATTGTATCTGTTGATGTCAATCCCTCTTTCAACATCTCATAAAGCGGGCTCATTTCCTAACTTCTCAACTGTTACAGTAAGATCAACAGCCCTGTCAACCTCAGCCTCGGTGGTAAACCTCCCAAGGCCAAACCTAATCGAAGTATGAGCCTATTCCTCCCACTCCAATGCCCTCAAAACATAAGAGGGCTCCAAACTCGCATATGTACAAGCACTTCCACTCGACACCGCCACCTCCTTCAAACCCATCAACAAACTCTCTCCCTCAACATAAGCAAAAGACAAATTCAAATTCCCGCATATTCCTCTCCATACTACCGGTATCACCACGCCGTCAATTTTCTCCCTAATTCCATTCAACAACCGATCTTGTAACGTGGTTATTCTCTTATGATCATAATCCATTTCCTGTTTAGCAATCTCGCACAGCAGAGCCAAACCCCACAATTAACGGGGTGGGCAAAGTCCCACTCCTTATCCCTCTCTCTTGTCCACCTCCATTTATCAACGGCTCAACTCGAATTCGTGGTCTACGTCTCAAATACAGAGCTCCAATCCCTTTTGGCCCGTAAATTTTATGCCCACTTAATGACATCAAACTAACATTCCATTTCTCCACATCAATTTGAATCTTCCCCAATGCTTGAGCAGCGTCTGTGTGAAATGGAATTTTAAATTCTTTACATATTTGACCTATTTCTTCCATGGGCTGAATCACACCTATCTCGTTATTAACCGCCATAACGGAAATTAAACCGGTGTCTGGCCGAATAGCTGCCCGTAATTCATCCAAATTAACAAGCCCATCCGACCCAACGGGCAAATAAGTAATTTCAAATCCTTCCTGCTGAAGATGCCGGCACGAATCGAGAACACACTTGTGCTCAGTCTGTGTCGTGATGACGTGGCGCTTCTTGTCCTTGTAAAAGTTCATGACTCCTTTGATTGAAACATTGTTGGACTCGGTTGCGCCAGAGGTGAAGATTATTTCTTTCGGAGAAGCGCCGATAAGATCAGAGATTTGAGAGCGGGCGGTTTCGACGGCGAAATCCGATTCCCATCCGAAATAGTGGGTCCGAGAGTGGGCATTGCCGTAACGGGAGAGGTAAAACGGAAGCATCGCGTCAAGGACACGTGGATCGACGGGAGTGGTTGCCTGCATGTCGAGGTAGAGTGGACGACCCGAAATTTTCACTCCCTTAATGGAAATCCCACTTTCATCTTCAAAGGATTCGGGTATCGTAGAGGCAACGGCTGCGGCGGTGGAGAGAGGGCGGAGGACAGAGGCTTTAGTGGCTCCCGTTAGGGCTTTGCGTAAAGTTGAAGCGAGAAGCTTAGAGGCCATCTCTGTGGAGTTGTTTCGTTACTGGATGTTGTGGTAAAGCTTGATGAAACGAGACAGGGATAAGTTGGGGTTTAGGGTCACCGACTGCTTGTGATTGTGATCTGGATGATGGACACGTTATTTACCCAAACCCAAAAAAAAAAAAAAAAAACAAGATGGACACGTGGCTTTCGTAGTGAGTTTAGCATTTCTTCGAATGAGATATGACCGTGACTCATTAATTACGATGAAAATATTTTGATGTCAATACTGAGTCATATTACTAATCGTTAGATGATGAGAATCAACAGTCATAAATAAAACTATCTCAAATTATTTATGGTTTTAAGAACAAACAAAATCTATTTTAGGGATGGGCACAAAGCTGCGGCAACTATTCGGGTGATTGTAACACACACATATATATATTTATATAAAATTAAAAATTAATCATATATACTTATATTAATTTTAATATTTAAAAATCAATCATATATATTTATAATAATTTTAATATTTAAAAATTAATTATACATTATACAATGACAAATTATAATTGTGTAAATATTTTATGAAACTATATACAAATAGATAATAAATAAAACTAGATTAAATATAATAAATTATATATATATATATGGTATTTGACATTATATATTATATATGGTATATACTATATAAGTATAATGTATATAACGTATATATGTTGTACATTATAATTTATACATAATTTGTTACTATCTATAATCTTACGTTAATACATAATATATATGTAATATATTATTTGTTGTTTTGATTGATTATAATAAATCAATAAATTATTATAAATTTATTTTTATCCCTTATTAAATCATTATTTCAATTCTATTACTTAATTGTCTTTATTATATTGTGATAGCTATTTATTTAAAATTTATTATAATATACATGTATAATGTATCATATGTAATACATTATATATGTTAATACTTATTACTTAATACAATAATACATAATATTATACTGTTAATATATAATATATTTATATATATGTATAATGTATTATAATTATCATTTTGATATTTGAATTCATTATAATCATTAATCAGGGACGGATCCAACACTTGTTGAGGGTGGACATTTTAACAAAAAAATACTAATATATATAATTGTGGGGTGGGTCTTTTTGGCCGTTCATGTTTTGAATATTGATAATGTCATGTTTTGAATCTTTTGATTATAAATCTGTCACATATTATAATATATTATCAATTTAGTATGATGATTTTTATTTTTAATATGTACATTATAAATTTAATTTCTTTTTTGATGATATGGTCTTTATGTTTAATATGTATATTATATATTTAATTTTTTTTTGTTGGTATATATAATTTGGAGAAAAAGATAGTAAAACTAATAAGGATACAAAAAAACAGAAAACCCTCAAACGGGCTATTTTCGGGGATTCCCCGAATTCTCATAATGGGCTTCGGCCCGGGATAGAGGATTCTTCTTGGGCTTTCGGGCCAGGCCGGAGACAGGGGTCCCGTGCCCATCCCTAAATTCTATTTCAACTCAACGATGTTATGTTGAGTATCGAAATTTCCATCACAAAACGGGCATCGTTTTGGTATTTGAAATAAATTAAAGCAGTTAAGTGACATCGTTTTAGTTAGGGTGTCAAGTTATACGGTGTCGTGTAGTGGTATCTGGAGTCTGGACATTGTAGTTGAAATGGACGTTTGATATGGTGAATGGTGTTGGTGAATTTGTAGTTTTTTAAGAAGCACGAAAAGTGGTGTTAAAAACTAATAAAATAAAAAGCAGTTGTTTTCAGTTTCAGATCTAATCTTGAACACCACACAAAAAATCAATTCCAGGTCTTCTGTCTTGTTTCATTTCTACCTATTTCAGTGGTCTCAAACATCACCTATTTGTCTATATTTACTTCCAGAAAATTAAAACTTAATCAACGCCAAAAAGCTACTTTTCTTTGCATCATCTGGGTAAGTCTAAGTTAAGTTTTTGAATCATTTAGTGTATGTTAGTGTTTCATATTTCGTGTCAATGCCAGTGTAGATCTGTGTGTATTTGTTAATGTAATCGACTGTTCAATGTTTAAGTATCTAATTTTTTTCTGTTAATTTTTTTGTGGGGTTGTCCTGATGAAGGCTAGATCTTTGTTTAAAACAAATGTTAGGTTCGTTATTCTCTGTAGTTTTACAGTCTGCAGTAGATTTCATAGTGTCTCTGTAGATCAGCTAAGTGATATGAGGATCGTATTGATTAGTCACCCTGAAAATTAAGAAGTATAAGATGTTTTCATTTATAATCATGTTTTTGTTTATGATTTGTACTTATGAATTTTTCAGGAAGCATAGATTTGTGACATTTTAGATTTTCATAGGTGTTTTTAATTGAGTGGGTTTGGTGATTGCTGTTAGCACAGGTGGGCTTATTTTATTTTGATTTAGTTGAGTTTGAGTTATTTAACAGGAGATGAAGAATTTGATGTCAGCTGAATTTTGGCAGGTGGGTGAACAAAATTCATGATGTTCAGGTCACCACGGAGTAGAAACCAAAGATCAAAAGGTTTCAAGGTGAAGCATGCATTACAACTATGCCTTTTGCTTGGTGTCTGCATCTGGCTTCTTTACCAGGTTCGGCACTCTCAGGACAAGAAATCTGCATATGAGGATAGCGCAAAAGCTGGGAATGACATCATAAAGCTAGGGAGAAAGGACTTCCCTCAAGTTGAGGACCCATTGATTAAAGATGCAAGGCACAAGGAGGTTGATGTAGAAGAAGAAGAAATCAAGAGTGAAGAACAGAGCAAAGCTGAGGAGAGTATTAATGTTGGTAAAGGGGCTGGCGATGAGGAGGTAAATGATCAGGATAAGAATGAGCAGGAAGCTGAGAATAGAGAAGATACGATTGATGGAGAGAAGGATAGGGAAGACACCAATGAGAGTGAAGAAAGCAAAGAGAATAACATTGAAGAGTTCAAGGAGAAGGATAGTGAAGACAAGGAGAGTGAAGAGAACAAAGAGAATAACATTGAAGAGAGCAAGGAGAATGAAGAGAGTAAAGAGAATAACATTGAGGAGAACAAGGAGAAGGAGAGTGAAGAGAGCAAGGAGAATAACATTGAAGAGAACAAGGAGAAGGAGAGTGAAGAGAGCAAAGAGAGTAACATTGAGGAGAACAAGGAGAAGGGGAGTGAAGAGAGCAAAGAGAATAACATTGAAGAGAACAAGGAGAAGGAGAGTGAAGAGAGCAAAGAGAATAACATTGAAGAGAACAAGGAGAAGGAGAGTGAAGAGAACAAAGAGGATAACATTGGAGTGAACAAGGAGAGTGAAGGCAGCAAAGAGAATAACGTTGAAGAGAACAAGGAGAGTGAAGAGGGCAAAGAGAATAAGATTGAAGAGACAAAAGAGAATAACATTGAAGAAAGCAAGGAGAAGGATGGTGAAGAGAGCAGAGAGAAGCAGAGTGAAGAGAACAAAGATAAGTATAGTGAAGATAAGGCAAATGATGAGAAGAAACACGTGGAGGAGATTCAAGAAAAAGAAACGAAGGAGACTGGAGATGAGAATGAAAGTACATCAAAACAGCAGTTCCACGATGAAAATGGTAATAACAATGAGGAAGCAAGGGAGAAACATTACAAGGGGGATGATGCTTCCAGTGAAGTAGTCCATGAAACTCAAAATATGAAAGCTGAAAATGTTCAAGGAGATCAACAAAAACCCAATGAGGTGGAGCAGCAAGGAAAAGAAAATAATGAATTTAAGCAGGAGAAGAAACAGAATAGCACCGAAGGTTATCACCAAGATGAATCAGCCTCAAATGTGCAAGAAACTGGAACTATTGAGAAGAATGATTCCACAAATAAGGCATCCAGTGATGGGGGTGTTCATGAAAGCAATCATCAGTCAGAAACAAATAATGGATCTAGTTCCACAACAGAGACACAATCAAATGAACACCAATCAAGCTCCAACTCCATGGAAGTCACCGGAGAAACTCATGATTCATCTGCGCAAAATGGGACAGATACAACATCTGATACAACTCAGAATCAAAATGAAACTGTGAATAACAGTTCTAAGGGAGATGACTCTACCCAAGAAAATGTTGTTCTACAGCAATCTGAGAAATCTTACTCAGATACCAATGGTGAGCAGACAGATGTGAAAGCAACACATGCTACTACTGAAAATGAACATTCAGCTAATGGAGAGTCCAAAGGTTCATCTAATAATGCTGAAACTGGGCAGACTAATGACTCCAACTCATCGTCTGGAACAGAGAACAATGCTCACGAGGGGACAAAAGAAACAGTTATACAGTTAAACACAAATAACAAAGGAGATGCAGGTCAGAACGAACAAGTTGATTCTTCAAACCATCAAGAGAACAACACATCAGCAAATGATAACGGAGATGCCAATCAAAAGGAACAAAATGGTTTTTCAAACTCTGAAGAGAAAGACAAACCGTCAAACACAGATGCAGGCCAGAATGGGAATGAAAATGCTACCCAGAACAGTACAAATGACAATCCAGAAGCAAGACAAAAAGAGGCATCGACAAACACAGATGGCAACACCAGTACCACCCAGAATGATTCTTCGATTACTCTAGAAGAGAAAGAGAATCGCATAGATCTCGGAACTTTGCCTGAGACTGGAACAACTGTGAACAATGGTGAAAATGCAGCTGCAGAGTGACATTTTTGATAAGTTGGGTTTTACTGTTTGTTACATGATTGTTCATTCGGTTTCTTTCCTTGTACTTCCTGAGGTGATTGGGCTAGTTTGTAATGTTTCTTGCTGCATCCTGTGCCTTATTGCAATAATAGTGTCTAGAAAATATTACACCTAGTACTTGGTAATTGCTAAGGTAACATAATATGTGACTCAATGCAGGTTTCAATTTTTCATAGACAAAATCCTTTTGTTAAATGGTAATTGATAATTTACTTGTGTTTCTGCGATCAAGTATTTAGTGTCGCGTGGCAGTTGACAGTCATGAAGAATTCTCTACTTTTAACCACATACTGGGTGATTCGTTGCTTGTGATTTTTTGGAATAGAGTACAGCCTTTTCTCTCCATGTCAATATCCTGGATCTAGTAGAGCTTGCATTACACAGGTGTTTGTTATCATGTTATAAGATCTGATAATGCCCCTGGAACCCTTAACCGAACCTCTACCTTAACTTCAATTCGACATCTCAACCTTCGCTCGTAGATCCCCTAACTTTTCCTCTTTAATGACTTGAATTCTACGCTGCTTTTCTCGTGTGTTATTGTTTTCTTTCTTTTTCCAATGTTTGATTTACGAGAATGAATCTAGAATTTAAAGGGTATTCGGTAGCAATCCCTTTCCTGCCTTTGGTTGACATGAATCCATCAGAAAAGGATAGTTTACCAAAAACAGTGAATCTATATTTTCTGCATTTGGTTACATGAATCTTCAGAAATGGTTACTTTACAGAAAAGATTGAAATGATATAAGTCTCTCAGAGATGAGAATGTTAGTTTCATTTATTGATTCTTAATTGACAAACTTTTATAGGTACTATTTAGAATTACACAAACTCATATTTCCTAATTAATATCCAAATAAATAACTGCAACATGATTACATTCTATTATAATGTAGTAGTCATTTTTTTTCAAATCATAAACCAGACGTCACGACGTACTTCAGTTTTGGGCATGGGTCCCCTATTTCAACTAAATAATGAAATAATTTTCATTCTATATCTCAATTTTATTTTCATCACCAAAACCGCACCGTAATTTGATTCAAATTGATGAAAAATGATCAAATTAAAATGAAATCAGTTGCTTTGGAAAGAAATACCATATGAAATCCCATCAGTTGCGTCCAACAGTGTTCAATGCTCAATCTAACAGTTGATAGCTTTACGAACCAGTAATTAGCCACTTCCCTGATAGATTCATTTTTCTCTTTCTACAGAAAGTTCCACACTACCTACTAATGCCAAACCTCTTCAATAACCAACATTTCCACATAAAACACTGTTTGATTGCACATGAATAAGAAAGGGATAATCAAATATCATTCATCAACCTTATTTGCGAGCAGAGTTTTACAGACACGATTAAAAAGGTTGAACTTGCAGCAAGCTAGTCTTTAAATCCCCAATTGAGATCCGCAAATGGAAATCCTAACATTCATGAGCAAGGAAATTATCTTGATTGTCATTAAACCAATTGACAGAATATGAGAGCTAAAGAAGAGAAGTCCCAGGAGATATCTCCATGAAAAAAAGCCATCAAACGACCTAGTGGTGCTTGCTCTCAAAAAGACCATCTGGACCTGAGTATTACAAATTGCACAAAAGATGATGACCATTAGAAGACAGAGCTATAGAAAATAAGTTCTATATATATACTCAATTTAGATTTAGAATATAGCATTGTCATTGCCAAATAGAATTATCTCAGCAATAAGCTCCAACAACTGGAAACAAAAAGACGAACACCCCAAACCTTGTTCTCCACCACCATGATGTATCATATAACAACATAAAAATGCTAAATAAGCTTTGCATTTACAAACATGCAATTTTAAATAGATAAATCAACTTCATTAGCAAGTAATAATCAATAACAAACATAAAATAGATTTGACAACCATAACAATACAAATTGCAACCAGTTCTTAACAAAAAACCTAACAGTTCCATTCACCTTGCACAAAGACATCCAAAACACTTATCTATGACCAACAAATAATACAATACTCTACCACAAACTGCAGCTATTTTTCTCATAATTGTCCTTATGAAAACATTTTCAATGCAACAGACTAATCCGTTACCCTTAAAGGTTATACAAAGAGCAACTCTTACGTTTTAACTGAACAATCCACCTGTAAGGTAGGCCACAGTAGCTAGTTGCTTAGTAAGACATTCATTGATCTCCAGACATAAGATAATTATAGCATAATGATAGGAGTTGTCAACTTCAATACATAGTACTCATATATGTTATTTAAATTAGTTTGCTACACTCCTTATTTACTTGAGAATGTAGCTCTCCACTAAATATACTGAGAAACTAAGATGACATCAAACACAAGGCACAAGAAGCAGAGAAAAGATAAATCGATACTGCTAGTTATTTAGGATAACAAAAGAACTTAAAACAAAGACATAATGCCAAACTCAACAAGCAATCAATAAGGCAACCCAAAGTTTGAATCTCAAGACAAAAAGTGCCATCAAACACAGAATCAATGTAATTAACACTATAAATGTAACAACAAAATAGACATTTCTTCTTCTAGGGCTATAGACACAAATAAATTTATTTAACTCTGAAAAACATACCCCATGGGAACTCCTTGTTGCGAATGTGCAAATATGGGTACGGCTGCATACAAGTAGATGGCATTCAGATGTTTTTCATAATGCATATAGTAGAAACCTTTACAAAAACCAAAAATAACCACTGTAAATTCAAGAAAAAAATCTTAAAGGAAAAAAGAAAAATAAAAGAAAGCTCACTGGAGGCTCTTCATGGTGGGGATGACCCTTTGAGAGGTTGTAAATAGCAAGCACAGTGCATGTAGCGATGCCTAAATATGTTATCTTCTCCCACTTCGCAGTCTCATCTAATAAAAAAATTTCAAGTAAATCAATCTCACCAATTGAAATCTTCAAAAAGATTTTTCTAAATACACAGGCTATATAGACAGAAAATATTTAGATTCTCATTTCGATATACCCAAAAACACAACTAAACATGCCACAAGACTGTTTCCTCGTTACTCTCATCTTCAAAGAGATTCCAAATTTTATAGGCCTTTCATACAAAATCCAGGAACTCCCACGCACTGTTCACGATTCATGACATAATCTAATCCTCAGAATTACAAAGCAAAAAACGAAATTCTAACACAGAATACTTCCATATACAGACCAAAATCGCAAATATCTCAAATGCATGTGATATGATGACTAAATTAAAATATGAATCAAAACCTAGATTAACGAAAATTTTTACGGATGCTTACAGGCATCGTCGTGATGACCAGAAGAAGCGAATCCTCGCTTGAGAGGAGCAGCGGATGTTCTAGAACCTCCGCGAAGAGCCGTTCTAAGGACACCAGATCTCACCATCGCCATCGCCATTTTTTCTGTTTTAACCCTTCCCTCTCACTCGTAATCGCAAATAAGATCAAACCCTTGTTTTTCAACTCCGATGTCTACGTTTCGACTGGCACGTGCGAAATTTATAATGGGCTGGGCTCTGAGTTGTCATCAGTTTGGGCTTTTAGGCATTCTCTTATTCTTTCAATTTAGAGTAATAGAAACTTTAAAATTTTATAATATAATAATAATATTAATATTTAAATTTCTACAAATTTTGTGAAAGATTTCACAAATCTAATAGCATTCTTAACCCTCAAGCTTATCACATTTTTTGTATTATAGCCAATCTCAATTCTATAATTTAATACTTTCTAGTCTGTACTTATACTTTCAAAATACAAATTTCAGAATTTTAAATGATGTGATTTTATTCTTATATCGATTTCAGAAAAAAGAAAAATTTAACATCTAATTTAAAAGAAATTTTATGACACTTAGAAATTCCTTGGTCCAAACCGAAAATTGATAAAAAAGTAAGATAATGAATCCTATACAAGATGGATAATTTATTTAATTAGTTCAAAATCTGAATGTACGTTGAGATTGCAATTTAATACTGACTTTCCTTACCAAACACTAATTCCTTCTTAACTTATTGTTCTATAGTCTCATCTGAAGACTTTGTGGCATGACTTGTATCAGCAATTGAAGAATATATCAAAGGAGAAGTCACACAGATTACGCGTTATAATATGTTGTATCAAAGAGCAATTAACATGACTATTTATTCAACAGGGAACATTTTATAGAATTTCAATTATATGTTCTTATTTATCATTCCAGTATGTATATATATATATATATATATATCGCTGAGAGTATAAGATCATGTCATACAAAAATGAACATGTATATCAAAAGACACATCCGAAATGACTAGCTGAGAAAAACCAATTTCCATCCGTGCCATCGCCGTTGGGATCAAGAGAACCACCCTCAGCCAGGTTAGTCACAGCAGAATCAACAGAGTTTTCAGACTGGATATAAAATTTCTGGCGTTCGCTGGAGTAGTTTCACATTGCCGTCTGTTAACGGTCCCTTGACTGTCAACAGTGGTTGAGCTCATCAATTAGCTTATCCATCCACTATGTCCCCGGTTCTCTATCCTTATTTGCTTCAGTCTCTATTTCGCTTCTTCTCTACTTCCACTTGCCCAAGCAGATCAAGGTACTCCACGTTAAGTGCTCCCAGAGAGGCCTTTTGGTCAGTCTGCACAAGCTAAGTTGAACCAGAATCTGGCTTCCCAGAGTGACGAAGCTCATTCACGATTGTGTCAACACCTGGATGGCCAAAGGAGAGGCTTTGTGCATTGTGATCGAGGGAGAGGATGACAAGGGCAGTCTCGGCAGCACACAAGTTACAAAATTCATTGGCCTTCTTGAGGTGACTGTATCAGCTTTTTGAGAAAGCAACTTGAAGAAATCACTTCCTTAATCATCTTCATTTTGGTCTTTTTGCGGCTCATACCTGTCATCTTCACAACAGAAAAACTACTAGACCAGCAAAGGGAGCTAGTTTCCCCGGATGTCATTAGGAAATTCAGAGCAACAGTTATTTACAGGCCTTCCCTGCCTCCGCTAGTCTGAAACCAATGCAGTTGCGCTTCTCAGATTGGTCATTTTCATTTCCTTCTGTAAGTTACCTATAATTATCATGAAATTATGAGAAAAGGTGAAAATCTTATCAGTTTTGGACTACATATTGCGTTCATATCCTTGGTTGGCAACACTTAATCTACAGTTGAATGTTTGCCTTAAAAACAAAAGAAGAGTTGTACCTCCCGAATAAGCCAACCGAAGTAATGTGCAGAGAAAAATTAAGATTGATTCAATGTTTGAAAAAAAAAATTTTCACTCTGGTCATTTGAAAATTTTGAAAGTTTTTAGACATTAAAAGGTTCATAAACCAGACAGTAATAAATTCGTAACCATGTTGTTCTTTGTGTAGCACCACCATCCTTGGAGCTGAACGACAACCATGCCAAGAGTTCATAAGCAGTGCTTCAATGCTCTATGTTTCTGGTCCAAGCGCCCGTACCCAACCAAATTCTATAATGAAAAGAAGTATCTTCGATGAGCCACATAATAACTAAGAAAATAACAACCACAACAAGATAGATAAAACTCTGCCCTCCATTAATCTCATGATTATAACAAGAAGCTAAAATATTAAAGAAGCAAAGTAGTTAAAACCATCTTTACCATTAGTTTGTTATATGGTAATGCTAAGCAGGTTGTCAATAAACAATTGAATTGAATAACTTTCCCTACCTACAGAAATATGCCTTATATGGACAAGTAGCTTAAGTTCTATTTACTGGATAAGTAGTAGTTTCTGCAAATAAAGTTGCACATCATAGCACAAGTACACACAGAGACACGTGTGTGCATGTGTATGTGTATATACTTTGTGTTTGCTTGCAGGTTGTAATATAAAAATATCACATTCTTTCTATTAATAGTGTGTCACTTACGATGATTATAGGAATTATAAAAGTTTAAATATTAGTGTTCAACCATTTCCTATAGCTTAAACTTGTTAACATCAAAATGACAAAATCCTGATAATGGCATTTTAAAGTGTGTTCAAAATCACACATTGATATCTATGTGTTTAGATTTGCATGATAATTCATTAATTAAATTTGATTATAAACAGAAGAGGACATGTTAGAGTCCTAACACTATAGTTGGGTCCTTTACTATAAGTTTAACATTGAGATTGATCATTACTCAAAAGGAACACTAATTGATTTTCTTACAACTAAACATGAACTAATCTATGCGATTAAATGTCCAAAGATATTCTCATTGAAAAGTATTGCACCTTTCACAACTTCAAACAATTAGTTTTCGTTTTTGCTTTGATAGAAGTAACTTTTTTGTTTTAAATCAAAATTCCACCAATCCAAGAATGAAGAATTTGTATGTCTAATAATAATATGCTCACTCAACTGAGACAAGGAAATTAGATAACTTTCTCATATATGAGCACAACTCAAAATAATGACATAATTTGACCGCTATTGCTCTACAAACGGTACTATGCATGCATAGCAAATACTCGTAACTAGTTTAAGTAACTTAAAGTGCATAGATATCAGCAAACATATACCTACACCTGGTTGGGGATGATATACTTCATGAATTGTACTATATTATTTTAAACTTAATGCACCTTTCTAACTCAACTATGTTACCATGTAAATTTATGTAAATACTATAAGTGGCATAACTCAATTCAACTAAAACACTACACCCCAGTCAACGAACCATTTGTAAACCATTGGTACTACCAGATATTCATCAGTCTGGACTCTGGACAAACTTCACCAATTTGCATGGAGAAGGCCAGGAACTACCAGTTTACAAATTATAATATGTATTAGTTACCATATGATGTTTTATTCATAGAAGGATTTGAATGACTACTGTGAATTTCAAGTCAGATATCATCATTGTAACATTAATATTAATGGCTTCGTAGTTCATTCATGTCAGATATCACTGTTTCACTGATCTTCTAATCTTTGCAGGTCTGATGTAACACTTGGCCTAATTTGCAACAATTCGAAGAAAGAAAATAGGTATTCATGAATCATGAGACCAGATCCAAGAAATGAAAGCACATATTACCACAAAGACTCGCAAAATACTTTGGAGCAAATAGGTAAAGTACTCTTATGATTATCATCATAAAAGCAGTACAACATCTGCTTGAGTGGTTAGGGCTCATATATTGTGGAAGATGCCAACAATTACAAAAGATTCTCTTCAAATGCTTAAATATTTCACACATCCTTTCATCTACTCTCAGTACCATAGGAAACAAGAGATTCATTTTGTAACCAGTTTTGTACTATTTGTCGGCCTTCCTAGGTTTGCCCAGCTACTTAAAGTGAAATCATAAAACATTAACCAACCAGTTATGATGAAGGATTCAACTCCATTACAATGTAAATGCAATCAAGTGAAAGCACTCACCAGTGAGCTAGTTACGGTTAACATTGCCATTAAACATCGAAAACATTTCAGAATGGCAGATCAGTAGGCATGCACGCTCATACACAGGCACACAGCAAATTAGCAGTGTCAATCACAGCTGAAACCAATGATTTCACTCAACAATTCAAGCTTCATGGTTACCACACGAACCAAATCTATAATATTATAGTCAAAGAAGAAAGGGAGATACAATGCGGCTTATATATTTTTAGATTTCCATAAATGCTCCAACATTTGAAAGTTGTTACAACCAGTATCAATTCATAAGCATGAGCTAATTAGAATAGCCAATATCATATTTCTTAAGCGCCTCTGTCCTTACAATTCAGTCCTTATATAGAAAGACTAACAAATTAGCAAAGTTCTCTATGTAACTAACTTTTAGGACGCAATTACACTAAAAGTTTCTTTTCATTCTACAATCTAATTTATAGAAAAACATCTCTAACAGTTCACCTAATCCTTGATCTTTTCACCAATTGGCCGTTTCTCTAAATTAAATGCTACAAAAACGAAGAACTAAAAACTAACGTAGAGACCAAGATTACACACAATGTAAATAGCAAAGTAAAAAAAAAAAACATATATTTAATACTGTTGATGATTGATTTTGACACCAACGACTCACACGTGCAAAGTGCTAATTGGGCTTAGAAATTATACGTGATATGAAAATATGCAGTGAGAAAATAAATAAGAAGCGGTTTTTAAAGTTGTTCGGATGCTCAAAAGCGAATCCTACGTCCACTGTGGTTATATTAATATATGGTTACAGTCAGGTCGCGTGTAGCGAGTTAAATTACAATCTAGAAAGAATATAGAGAGAGAAAGAGAGAATGTATGGTGTTTAAGACTAAAGATACGCTAATCCTGTAAATGAGAGAGGAGCCCTTTATTTATAGTTGGAGGATTCAAGGTAGTAATCATGAGTTTGCAATCCGGCAGGTGTGGTACAATTCCTAACCCGCTTCCCATTGGTTGTCAGCACGAGAGACATCCTTAAATCGCATAGGGCTTGGGCAGGTGGACAAT